TATGCTTGAGGTGTTTTTCCTGAACCCCAGCTCTTCCCTCTGTCAGGGGCAGGGTAGGTGGGGAATTTCACCTCCGATGTCACCCCTCTCTCTTATCTTTTCCCATGAGCACAATGGGAGTTCCATAATGGTGCATACCCAAAAGAAAACTGTTTCCTTGCCTGTGTTTTTGTGTGCTGTATGTCTGATCCCGGAATGGTGGTTCTGTCAGGAAGAGAGAACCACCATAAATCTGGCCATTTGTTAAGTAGCAGCTACGCTAGGGGAGGGTAGATTCTGTGATGACAACATATATGCGACGTACCACTGCCTGATTTGTAGTCATGCTAATTCCGAACTTTTACAAGCTTATAAACCTCAAAATATGTGGCTGGTGTGGTCAAAACATATATCATTGCTTTTCACTTAAATTGAAGTGCAACATATGTGCGAATCAGGGAGTAAGGCAAAGCGGATTGGAAAATAGCGCTTTTAGCCACGTTGACTTGCATTTGTTTTTTCGTTCTTCTGGGGACCCATGAGCCAACCTTAAAGGGAGGAGACTTAGGTTCCCTATACAGTATAACTAACAAAGGCCTGCTCTGATTTTGAATACCCTGGACAGATTAGACTCCCCCTGGCAACACGGAGACTAACAACGAGACTGAAAGCTGATTGGACAAAACAACGAAAATTCACATACACGTACAGAACATGGCAGAGCCAAGAGACATGTTCTCCAAATGAATAAAATCAGTTGTAATTAAATTAATACAATTTCATTGAACAAACATATTTTTTAAGTTATAAGTTAGTAATTCTGATCACGTTTGCTGGCTCTGACTGCACACCACTGTAATAACTTTATATAAACGTAATATTCAAAGTGATTCAAAACTATTTATTATTATTTATGTACCACCTTACAAGCATTTGTGAATGCAGGGCCGTCAAATAATAACTTTGTGTTGTGTTAAAAGTGCATATTTGCATTAATTCAAATGACCAAAACTGTTTGAAGAATCAACTTGAAGCTCTTCAGAGTCTGACCTGATTGCAGATTTTCCTCATTATTTATTCGAAATTCACGTTATTTTTTAAAATACCGTATTTTCTGGACTATAAGTCGCATTTTTTTTCATAGTCTGGCTGATCTTGCGACTTATATACCAAATTATGTATACAGCACTGCTGCGGGCCGCTTCGGACCAAGAATGAGCTCCCCTACCCCGCCATCACCTGCTGGAGACCGTTGTGCGCTGCTGCGGGCCGGCTCCGGTCCAGGTTTCAGCTCCTTTGCCCCGCTGCTGCAGCTTGTGGCGGGGTGCTGCGGGCGCTCTCCCCGCCCGCTGGGAGGGTTTGAAACACCGCCATCCTCTGCTGGAGACCGTGGTGCGCTGCTGCGCCCTGATTGTTTATTCTGTTATTGTTACCGGTGTTTGTCTTGCAATGTGAAATGCTTGGTCTCAGATTTTGTTAGAAAAATAATAAAATTTCCCCCCAAAATGCAACTTATAGTCCAGTGTGACTTATATATGTTTTTTTCTTCTTCTTCATTATACATTTTATGGCTGGTGCGACTTATACTCCAGAGCGACTTATACTCCGGAAAATACGGTAAATGTATTTAATATTACGTATGTTTAAATATGCAGCCTTGTGGAGAACTTAAATGCATGATTTCACACATTTAATTCAAGATAGAAGTGATGGAGTGTATGTTCGTATCATTCCTAATATACACACTGCGTGGCACCCCGTTATTGCCTTTGTCTTGAGAGAATCCCTCAGGGTGTTTCTATATTTAGCTCAGGACTGCAGAAATAAATGGGGTCTGAGAACGTGGAATCTCAAGGAGTGCACTATGATGGATTGATCTGCTCCCTGTATCCTCTGAGTCAATCAATCTTCCTGGCTTTGGTGCTGTTTTCTAAGGGAATTTTTCACACTCTCCTGTTTTGCCTCCGACTGGTGAGCTGCTTGTGGTCTTAGATAACCTGAGGACATTAAATATCTACGAGTACTTGTCAGTAAATGTAGCTAGACTTCTGTTCAGTAAGCAAAACAAGAACCTTTTTTATTTTAAAATAACAATTCATATAGGAATACACTTGATTTTGTTCCTGTGTAACATTTGTGGATGCACAAAATACTGACACATCTAGACCTCTCCCTACCTCAGCAGATGGCCCTTCACAGTTATGCAGACTAGCTAGGGGCTAGGACTACTCTCTTATGGGATGATCATTCATGAGGCAAACAGATGGATGGTCAGAAAGTGGAGATGTGTTGTAAACTACAGCTATTCAAAAAGCATCCTTACGTCGGCGGTATGATTAGTTTGTTTACTGTAGCAGACGTCAATCTGGCCGAAGCGAATACTTCTGCTGCTGAGATCTGGAGGTGTTGTTTGGGCTGTGCAGTGATAGTTTCTAACATATGGATGTTGGATATGTGACCCAATGTGATCTGGTGATGTTGCTGCCATATTTCAGTCTACTTAGGTCTGAATATGGTACATCCTTAAGATAACTGTGTGTTTATTATGTGGAAAAAATAATTGTAAGGAATTTGAAAAATTGCTCAATGTCAAAATATTTTCTTTTATTAGCGATGCAAGAAATGATTAAGTGGCAGGCAACAAGACAAAAATACTGAAAAAAAAATTCATGAAAAGGTGTTCTGGGTCTTGGAGCAGATTTTGATTTTGAATTCCTCTTTTAATCCTAAAATAACTTAGGGATGTGTATCAGTGCACATATGTCGATACGATACGTATCGCGATACAGGGGAGACAATACAATATATCACAATATATTGCGGTACATTCAGTCAGACAATATTAGCGATTTTTTTAGACTTAATTTATTGTAGGAAAATTCAATGAACAGTCCAAACTCATACTTAACATGTTTAACATGAGGTATCTCAATCATAGTAGAGGGATTTACATTTCAATGGTGAAAACAAAACCCAATGCACACTGCTGCCAACTCGGCATTTAAATTGCACCAAAAGAAAATACACAAATTTTTGCATGTAAATTCTTCCAAAAATTTGATACATGGCTTTTGAATATTGATATAATATGGCAGGATAAAATTAGGGATGTCCGTTTCAATATTGATATCAGAAGGAATTCGATATTGGCCCAAATACAGCGTATCGGATTATATTGGATGGTATCAAAAATCTCCGATATAAGCAGTCCGTCCGTTAAGGTTCACATTTTTGCAACCAATGGTTAAGAAAATTTAAAAAATAATTTTCCTACTTACTGTTATTGGCTCTTATTCGCTGATTGAATAATATCACTTGATCAAGCCTTTCATACATTCCACACTACGAAATAGGTAAAAGTATGTTTGATTTGTGCTGATATCGTGTCAGGTTGATATCGGTCAGTACTGAAGGCTGCAATATCGGTATCGTATCGGAAGTGAAAAAGTTGTAACGGGACACCCCTAGAAAAAATATCATATTTTGTGATATAGATATTTTTGATACTCAGCTTTTGAATATCGATAAAATATTGCTGGAAAATATGTCACGATATATTGCCATATCGATATTTTCTTACATCCCTAGTAATAACAGAGCAGCAACGTTTCAGTTTTTACCTAATTTTGCTGACAGTTTTGGCTTCTCACATTTGCCTTCATCAGAGTTTCACCAATGTTGATGTTGTCACTTCCGTTGCTGTTTATCTGTGGGCAGAGGAGGATACTGTCGCCCTCTACTGCTTGTGCCTTCCTTGTCGATTACCACGTCCCAGGAATGAATTTACATACTGGGTCATTCATGGGGCATGGTGATTGACGAAAAAACAGAAAGAACATAACAAGGAATCCAATGTTTTGTTTAAGCAAAGCCCTGACACATCTCTCCAAAGCGTGTTCCCTCTCACTACTTTAATTACAAACATGTGCAGATAAGCTTTACAGTAAAACACCAACAAATAACAAGCAGCATGGCACTGAATCCTGAGAATGATTTAGAGATTTGTGTGACTTAACAGATTTTGGTTCAGTCGCCCAAAGGTATGGCTACCATTTTCATATTCAGCAAGTTTTAAAGCTACTGTAGCTCTTGATAAAATCCAAAGCCTTTGATGTTCCATGTTACAGATGGTTGCATCAGTTCTACCCAGCTATCTAATGTAAGCTAGGCTCATCTCAGGGATAAGCATAAAGGTTTTTCGTCACTTTTTGCAGTTAACGAGGTCCGTTTCAATACTGTTGCACCTCTAAATCTATAGCTGGATCCCCCAAGCAGTCAGTCTGTTTAGTCAGTTTCTTGTAAAACCTTGAAACCATAATTTGTCCTTCAACTCGTTTACAGTTATTCATTAAGGATAATGATTATTTTTCCTTTGTGCCAAGCTGTCTATGTGAGGTTCAGTCCCATTTGCATAATGTTTGGTAATTTGAGAACAAAAATAGGCCGAGGGAAGCTGCCAGGATGGAATACGCACCTCTGAGCACTCCTCGTTTAGTTGGAGGAAAAGAAATGAAGAGTTTTAAATGAGATTCATGAAGACGGCGAAGTCGCACCGTAGCTGTTAACACACATGAACAGATTTTACACAGAATCGCTGATGGAAACACATCAGCTCTGTGTAATCCAGAACCAGCTGCTAAATGCTCGCAACAATCAGTGTGTCATTTCATTCTTCTGCTCCGCTGGTTGATTCCTAAACGACTTGACTTTTCGTGTCACTGTGACTGATTCGTTTCAGCGGATTTTTTATAATCTCTGGGAGAGGGTGCGCTCTATGTGGTTTCCACAAACCCATTTTCATGTTATCATTCAGCGTCACTGCAGAAATTACAGAAGCTCGGCATGTGGGGGAGTTCGGGGCTTTACTCTTTATCACACATGCTTGTGTTGGTAATAGAAGCGTTAAAACGTGAAGGGCTACATTTAAGATTGCTTTTGCAGGGTTCCACATCTTTAGCAAACATTTTTTGGAAGTATTTCACCTTCCATTCAGTCTAAAATGCCTTGATGTTGTTTTGCAGGTGGCCTTAGAGGAGCATCTATCATTGATTCACTGGACACGCTGTATATTATGGGACTGATGGACGAATACAACGACGCCAAGGAATGGGTGCAGACCAGCCTGGACCTAAACTCTGTGAGAATTTAATATTTTTTCTTTTCCTCTTGAAGCTTCTTTAATACAAATCCAACCCTATGCATAAGTATAATCAGCGCTTATTTAAATGGGTTATGTTTAGTACGTAGATGAAAATCAGTGCTTTGTGCAATATGAACTAATCAACTCAACATTTATCAACACCAGTTTATTAATGCTTCTTTATAAAGACAAATTCAATTAAAATACATTAATAATGGAAGCCTTTTTCATCAAAAGTTCAAGACCACTTGAAAAATGGTCCAAAGTCACATGGTTGGATCTTTACAAGGTTCTATGTAGAGTATTTTCAAAATGCTTAAACTGAAACTTTCAACCCTTTAAACTGAAACTTTCAACCCTTTTATTTGAGGATTTAACAAGACTTTTATAATTTTGTAACATTTTAAATTTTATGTCATTTTTAATTTTGGAACTGTTAAATAACGAAGTGAACAAGGCCATTTCTCAAAATGTGTACTCTGTCTAAACTTGTGTACTCACGTCCTTCTAAAAGTACATCAACGTTGGCCCAACGCTAGATCCTCGTGGTAAAAACAGATACAGGGATATATTGTAATTAGAAAAAAGAACAACATAATAAACAAAAACACTCTTTGAAAACAAAGTGTTACAGTAAAGTCAGTTCGGATGTCAATAGAAGTTTTTGATCAATTGCCTATTAATGGTTAATGTGTAAAATGTGTATTCTCCCCGGCGATAGGGGGCAATACCTAAATCATTGCAAGAAAGTTGTGTGTTTGTGTTTGAGTAAGACCTTGCCAATGGATGGCCATTAGGGTCAAAAATCCCTGGGAGAGCAACCTCCAACAAAATGACAGTCACATCAGATTCCCTTTCATCAGTCGCAGCAAGTGAAGAGGTAAATGTGTAAAATAAACGTTAATGTATGGTGAAAGTTTTGTAACAGTTTGTTGCAGATGAGTAAATGCATTTTGTCCTCACGGGCTCCCGTAGAAGGAAGCACAACATCTAATATGGTATCGCCCAGAGACCTACTCCTGTTTCACACTGGAAGCATCAAGAGGCGCGGAACGGCACCAGAGCGTTTTAGTCGCGAGCTTCAATGTGGTCCGTTACACACCGGCAGAGTCTTGGCCGCGGAACGGATTCCTCGCTGTGCTCCTTGCTGGACTCGCGAGATCACAATATCCCTTGAGACGTAAAATGTCACGGTTTGTTTATGCAGTCCTCCATTATCCACCAACTCAGTGGCCTAGTGGTAGAGTGTTGGCCCTGGGACTGGGAGAACGGGGTTCGATTCCCGGTCGGATCATACCAAAGACTTAAAAAATGGGACCCAATGCCTCCCTGCTTGACGCTCAGCGTTGGATTGAGGGGTTAAACCACCAAATAGTTCCTGAGCGCAGTCACTGCTGCAGTTCACTGCTCCCTTCCATGGGGCTGGGTCAAATGCAGAGATGAATTTCACCAGTGTGTGATGATGACTATGGGACTTTACCTTTGGCTTGAAACCAAAAAGAAGGAAGTCATGTTTAATATCGCAGTTCGATGTCCTATATGACATGCTCCACCCACTACCACGATTAAAGACATGAAAAGCACACTGCTGCACTTCGAGAATGATACTGGGAGTAAACAACACGTTAGCTTCAAATATATGAAATTGCATCACTTCTGTACTTTTATGTTGAAAATTACCGGGGATTTTAGACTGAAACCGTGTGTGATTTCCTGTCTAGCCCTATGTTAACTGGGGAAATTGGCTTGTCCCAAAAACGGCTCGTGGCAAAAATTGAACTCGATCCTTTCAGCGTGCCGCTTCTGGGACGCGCCTGAAAATTGCAGCTGGTTCGAAACACTCCATGGACTATAATGGATTCTATTAGAAGCAGTGAGGTTCCGCTGCCATTCTGCGCTGCTGATGCTTTCAGTGTGAAATAGGCTTGAGACCCGCTCCCATGTATTTTAGACCCGATTTTTATGATTATATGTTACAAAGTCGCTAATACTTTTCAGCAACTCAGCATCATTTAATTCATTTTCAACTACATTTTGATGGATGTTTCCAGAGATAATGGTAAAAACGACACATCATCACTTTAATGAAAAACAAGGAAAGAGTTATTTTTTGTTACATTACATTTCCTCATATATTGTCAAGTTATTTCCATCATATGCAAACTGTCACATTTTATTTTATTCTAAATATAGTTTACAAATGAAATCATCCAGATTCCTGCAGCATAATTTAATGTTGGTATTAGCTCTGAAGGACAGGAAAGGACATAATAAATGTAAGATAAAAAAGTTTTTTAAAGAATTAAATGTATTGATGATTCCTTATTCCTCTTTGCTGTGCTGCAGCTCTCCTCCTCCCTTCTCCAGACTAGTAACCATGGCAACTGCAGAAGCTGTAGTGATTGGCACACTCTTTGTAGCCCTTCATAGATGTTTTTGCTCACAGAGTTTCTCCAAGCCATATTTGGAGTGCTATAGGAAGGGCAGTTTGTCATATATGTTCTGTTTGGGTTTTTGTTTAGGCTAAATTAATAGTTTAAATCGAATTAATCTAAAACTATTCCCATCTTTAGTTTCAGTAGTTTCCCTTTTTTAGGGGTGGGAAAAGAAACATGTACAGGGTTACATTTAGACTTTCAAATTGAAAGTGTTTCCCTAAGCACTTTGACTGATGTTTTATTTTCTGCAGTTTTTAAGATTTGAGCATTTTAATTAACTAAAAATAAATTAGCATTGTGTCTTTTACTCTAAACGTATTTACTGTTTAACTAAATGAGCATAATGCATGCAGAGTTGAGTTTATTCTGAACTTCTCACATGGAAGCATTGTGTCCAGTGTGTTTGACAGTTTTCCAAAACTCAGGATTCTCCAGCAGAAATCAGCAGCAACTTCCTGTGTGGCCACCAGCCACGGTGCCCTAGGGACTGATGGGATTCAACTCACTCAGACACTTTTATGAAGCAGAAAATGTGAGATGAATGCAAGTAGGAGGGTGGGAGAAGGGGGTAAAGGATGTTTCGGATGGAAAATAAACTGTGAGAGGAGGAGGAGAGGAAAGGTCATGACACTTCTCATTGAGTGAGTCTTTTAGAGGTTGAGTTGGCAGCGGCTGAGGGTTGCCAGGTCTGACATCATGTCGGATTTGAGTGGAAGCCAGTGAAAGGGCCAACTGGGGTAGGTCTTTGTGTGATTGCTGAACAGTCAAGTGTTTGAAACGGCTTGTTTGTGGTTTTGTAAGTTTAGTCAATGGGAGTGTTACGTTTTGAGGATGTTTAGGACCCAAATATGCAGAAACCCAGGATGACACGAGGCTGGAGATGATGTAAAGTAAATATGCTTTATTTTGCAGGACGAACAAAAAAAAATCCAAAGGCAGAGAGCCAAAAGTCCAAAAATCCAAAAACCCTGGTAACAAAAACAAAAGCTCACTGAGAGCACCAAAACCTGGAGGCATAAGCTCAACTAGAGCACGAAACAACGCTGACAAACATACAATGGACCGACAACAACACAGAGACAAGACAGGGCTTAAATAGACTGGGAAGATGAGAGGGAGATAATTGCAGGTGTGTGGGGAGAGGGACCAGGTGAATACAATTACTAAATCAGGGAGGAGACCTTAAAAGGGTGGCTTGCCACCTCCGGGTCGGGGGAGAGGTCCTACCTCAAGTGGAGGAGTTTAAGTATCTCGGGGTCTTGTTCACGAGTGAGGGTAGGAGGGATCGGGAGATCGACAGGCGGATTGGTTCGGCGTCTGCAGTGATGCGGATGCTGAGCCGATCTGTCGTGGGGAAGAGGGAGCTGAGCCAGAAAGCCAGGCTCTCGATTTACCGGTCGATCTACGTCCCAATCCTCACCTATGGTCATGAGCTTTGGGTAATGACCGAAAGAACGAGATCGCGGATACAAGCGGCCGAAATGAGTTTCCTCCGTAGGGTGGCCGGGCTCAGCCTTAGAGATATGGTGAGGAGCTCGGACATTCAGGAGGGACTCGGAGTAGAACCGCTGCTCCTCCGGATCGAAAGGAGCCAGTTGAGGTGGTTTGGGCATCTGGTCAGGATGCCTCCTGGACGCCTCCCCGGGGAGGTGTTTCGGGCATGTCCTGCCGGCAGAAGGCCCCCGGGTCGACCCAGGACACGTTGGAGAGGTTACATCTCCAATCTGGTCCGGGAACGCCTTGGGGTCCTGCCGGAGGAGCTGGTGGACAAGGCCGGGGAGAGGACGGCCTGGAGCTCCCTAATTGGGATGCTGCCCCCGCGACCCGGACCCGGATAAGCGGAGGAAGACGAAGACGAAGACGAAGGGAGGAGGAAGAAAACACTGGTGGGAAAAACACACTAAATACTGAAAGGCTGTAACAAAGGAAAATGACCTAAGAGAAAAACAAAAGACTAGAAAGCATGAACCATGACTAATATACTAAGGGGAAGCTGACACTAAAGGAAAACACTATAGAAAGAAACAACAGGGGCGTGGCTAAGAGGGGGCCAAGAGAGCACTGGACCAGGGAAAGGGATGTCTGAGGGGGGATACCTAAAGGGCAAATGGGGAACACCAGGAGACACATGAGGAAGACGCAGACATGAAACATGAGGGCGCTAGAAGACACAAAAGGAGCACCTAGAGAGGATGGAGAAACACCAGGAGGCACATGAAGGAAGGGGCAGACGTAGACCATGACAGGGAGAGGTCAACTCTGTGCCACTTTCATATCATGTTATAAATTGTAAAAGCGGTGTGTAATTACATGAACTTTTGAAACAAAGCGACTGCAGCTGGATTTAGCATATTAGATCCAAGGCTGTAAGTTGTCTTGTTTGAGGACAAGTTAAAGCCTCTTTCCAGAGTAATTATCCTATTCGATGGTGCTTTCTAGTGGCTGACAAGCATATCACACAAATAATCTCTAGAATCGTTTTTTTAAGATGGCGATTTCACATTTCTAGTTATAAATGTGCTTCTGTAGGCGACAAACAGAGCAAAAACATGCTTTTTT